ATATGATGCCTAAATACTCTATGCTAGAACTTCAATACTACAATAGTTTCATTTTCATCTCTTGCAGAATCACAGCAAAAATAACTGGAATATGATAATATATTTTTAGTAAAAAATTCACAATTGATATTACTCAATAAAGCAAGTGTTCATCCCAAAAATTCAGCAGCTAGTCACTGAAAAGAGACACCATGTTTAGGGGGCGATTGGATATAGTTTCTACAGTAAAAAAACCAATCAAAACTAAAATTTAACTTAACTTTAACCCAACCTCACTATATCCAATATTATCAATATATTTAAATAATATCAACCAATCATTTTTACACATCACATCAACTGTAATTCACTATTCATCCACTCACATAATTTTAACTAACCAACACTTCCAATCATTTTTCTCCTACTTTACATCAAATCAACTTTAATTATTTTATTTATGTATTATTTCAATATATTCACTAACAACTAACCATACCACCTTTTTTCAAAATTAACTGTAGATAAAAAAACAAATCAAATAAAAACTAGTTGAATAAATAAACAATCACCCCCTTAGAAATCAAAGCATAGGCAAAAGGGTATTTACAACACCTAGCAGGCTTACATGATCAAGATACAACAGGGGCATAATTGGGGCATAATTGGATAATCTGCTAAAAAATCTGCTACATTACACCTATACCTTATATCATTAAAGAACTAAATATCTCGTGCACACATTGCAGGTTATCTAAATCAATGAAGAGTACTAGGTTACCATATCTAAGAAAAAAATTTGAAACGACGCCCTTCTGTTCAAAATATTAACATTACAGGCAACATGATCTATAGTATTAAGTCAATAAAATTCAAATAGGAAAAGTATTAAAAACCACAAGACCACCGACAAATTGGTATCCATGAAAAAAGTAGTAATAAATCCTCCACTGGTTGATGGCATCAAGTGCTACAAAAGATTTATAAGCAATTTTGCATCACGAGACAAGTGTTATATCATTCATTGTAACTTCCTCTCTAACGACAATCAGTATAAGAATTAACCAATGCTATTCAGAGGTTTTACATGGGAAGAGCGGAGAAGAAAAAGGCCAACTAACATAGAATTTCATAATCAATGCAAACTCAAGTCCAGCCCTTAACAATACTTCAATTCAGCAACAGAAAATAAGTATTAATCAAACTCAAATGATTCATTTAATTGAATCACATTGAGGTCACTTAAACATCCATGCAGCAACAAATTCCACACGCACAAACATAAAATGCTCAATCATATAAACAGAAGCCCAACCAACCAAACAAACAAAACCATTAACTTACTAGCTTAATTGCCACCTCTTCATTAGTCTGAATATTCGTCCCTGCACCCATAAAACAACCAACCATTAACACAGTGAAATTAAGCACCAAAATAAAAGAGAAGGAATTTAACCACAAAAAGAAACAAAAGGAAAAACAACAAATTTACCCAGATAGATCTCTCCAAAGGACCCACTTCCTATCTTCCGATCCAATCGATACCTGCTCCCTACTCGCGGCTCCATCGAAGGACTAAGTCCGCCCCCAGCAAACAAAATTTCATGGGCAGCAATCAAAACCCCAGAAAACCGATACACAGAGATCCAATCGGCTACTCAATTGGATTTGGATATAACAAATTGGGTGATTAATGGCACTAAATGTTTCGTGTTTCAACACAGCTCGAGCACTAGGGTTAAGTCGCGGATGAGCATAAAGAAGAAGAACACAGAAGAAAAAGCGAAAAACAAAAAATTCTCCCTAAAAATTTTTCTCGCCAAATTACAGTGCGAGTGGGCGCGTGAAAGTTTTGTATTATGTATTTGTTTCATTAGGCAATACTCCCACCTATTTTTAATAAATATGGTTTTGAGAAGTTGCACGATAATTAAGAATATTTTTTTTGTCAATAATAACTCTCATTAATGAGAATAGAGATTGATGTTTTGAGAAAAGATGGAGAGTGAATATGAAAAGACGTTGTGTATTTATTAGTTAGATGAGGGTAATGATGGAAAAATATGTACAAAATAACCAAAACGACATTTATTTAACAAATGATCAATTAAGTTAGGATGACAAATAATAAAAATAGGAGGGAGTATCTTTTTTTTTTCGAAAGCATAGAGATTTTATAAATTGCACAAATGTGTAAACAGAAAGCAGCTCAAAGCTAAATAATACAACTGAGAGCTAAAAATTGGGAGGACGGATACGATAATGGAGAATGAACGATCTCAACAAGATAATACCGGTCATACTCGGGCACCACAGAGATCAACGACTCAAACCAAAAACACGAGTCCTAAACAAACAACCAAAAAACAGAAATACAGAAAAAGATAAAACTAGCTAAAAAACGAGCCCTTCCTCGGCAGATCAACTGAGCCGCTCCAGTAGAGAAAAATTGACCCCAAGGAGAGATCCTTGGCCTAACAAATTGCTTCAAAACTGTCGAAAATCGTCTAACCGAAGCCGAATCCAAGCCTCAAACCAAATCCGGAATGTCGGCCCGACTCTTTCCAGAAACACCCAAATCACCCCCCGCCACACCACAGCCCCAGACCGGCTTTAACACCACTAACCGAACCAAAGGCTCCGATTTTCTTACCTAAGTCGTTGTGACTTTTTTCTCAAGTCGTCAAGCCAGGTCAACTCTTCGATTAGGTCGGCATGTTGGATCGCCAATCACTTTAGGTCATTTGGGTGGCCTCCAGGTCTTCCAGGTGGTCTCTAGGTCATTTGGGTGGTCTCCTGGTAGTCCAGGTGGTTCCAGATCGTCCTGCCAACTCGATCATACTCAGGTAATTCCTGGCTACCCCAACTATCGCTATATCATCTAGTCCTCCCCATACCTACTCCAAGAAAACTCGAGCTATGGAGTAAGGTCAATAGACATGTCGTGAAAAGATTATCACGTTTTGGCTTGCTTGCTCCACATTTATGTATCCGTATTTTATCTATTTTGTACAACATCGTTTGAATGCCTTATATCATTTTTAGTGATGTATGCTCAACTCATTTGGTTACTTCGCATGACAATAGCTTCATTTGTTGCTTTGGTTCATCGTTTAACAATTATAGCTCTATTGTAATAGTTCCAGGTAAATTAGCTTATCGCTTATATAGTGTAACTAATTTCACTTGTGTAATAATAGTTCCAAGTAAATTAGCTCACCAATCAGCTAGTATAATTAACTCCAAGATAGCTCCACCTCTGAATAACTCCAACTCTACAATAGTTTCAAGTAAATTAGCTAGTGTAAGTAGCCCCAGAATAGCTCCAACTCCAAATAACCCCAAGAAAATTAGCTGGTGTACTTGCTCCAACTCCAAAATAACTCTAAGAAAATTAACTAGTGTAACTAGCTCCAAAATAGTTCTAAGTAAATTAGCTAGTGTAACTAGCTCCAAAATAAGTCCAAGTAAATTAGCCAATTTAAGGGGGACTCTCGCGAAACTTCCTCCGAAAAACCCTTCTTCACTTTCGAATCGTCTCTTTCGATTTGTACCTGTCTGCCTTCCTCCGCAGGCGTCGTGCTTCGCCGGCGGTTTCTGGTCCTAAGTGCTTGGTTCTCGCCCCTTTTCTCCTGCTCCACCGCTCGAATTCCATGGCTCGAGTTCCCTTCTGCTGCGGCTGGGATTTCTCTTTCCGGCGACGGTTTGTCAATTCCAGCTTGGGGCGGCTCTGTCGTGTGGTGGTGGAGCCGTTGTGCGGTTCCTGGGGTGGGACACGGCTTGATTGCGCGGTGATTGGTTTGCTGAGCGACCGAGACGGTGAAGCTATTCACGACCATCCTTCCTTGTACCAGACTTTCGGGTCGATTGGGGCTGTTGTATCACTTCTTCCTCCAATAAGGCTGGTAGAGGTGCTGATGCGGCGGGATGATGGTTGTTGGGTATCTACCAGGCGATTTCGGGGCCAGGGCTGGGGTCGTGGCATTCTTTTGTCCGTTTGGTGCATTTGAATGTTGTGGTCGTGGTGCGAGTCGGCCTGCTGCAGTTCCGGGGTTGGGGTTTCGTCTCCGTTAGGCACCCGAGTGGTTTAGGCAGTTTCGGGGGTGATGCTTCTAGCTACGGGATCCGTGGTTGACTTGTTTCCGTTGGTTTGGTTTGATGTTGATGCGTAGGAAGGGCTCGTTTAATTTATGTCGTTTGTTTTGTTGTTAGATTCGTGATTTTGTGTTTTTGTGTGTTGTTTGGTTGTGTTTTTGGTTTGGACCGTTGGTCTCTGTGAGCCTGAGTGTCACCTTATTCTTCTGTTGGGAGCCGACACTCGGGTATTACCCTGGTGGGGTCCTTTTAATTTCTTAGTATTTTCGTGTGTTAGTGTTGTTTGTGTTTGTTTGTATTACCCCCTTGGGGCCGGCTCTAGGCGGTCATTGACTGTCCTCCCACTCTATTCAGTTGTTGGCTGGTTATATTCAGCTGGTGACTGTGTTCATGTACATTTGTGTTATTTATATATAAAATTTCTATCGTTTCGGAAAAAAAAAAATAAATAAAAAAAAAATAAAAAAAAAATTAGCCAATTTAACTAGCTCATAAATAGCTCTAGCTCCAAGTAAATTAGCTAGTCTAACTAGCTCCAAAATAGCTCCAAGTAAATTAACTAGTGCAACTAGCTTCAAAAAAGTTCCAAGTAAATTAGCTAGTATAACTATCTCCAAAATAGTTCCAAGTAAATTAGTTAGTGTAAGTAGTTCCAAAAAAAGCTCCAAGTTTTAGCTAATGTAGCTACCTCCAATGAAACTCTAGCTTTAAAATAGTTCCAAAGTGAAGTAGCTAGAGTAACTAGCTTTATAATAGTTCTAAGTAAAATATCTAGAGCAACTTTGTAATGAATTAGCTCGCAATGCACAACTATTTTGCTCCCACAATTTAGTTTCAATTAGCTCGCAGCTTTGAATAGCTCCAACTAGTTCGTAACTTTGAATAGCTCCAACTACCTCACAGCTTTGAATAGCTCCAATTTGCAGTCAACTTTGAATAGTTCCAACTAGATAACCGACAAAAAATCTAGAAAATTGCAAGATAATATACACACACACACACACACACACACACACACATATATATATATATATATATATATATATATATATATAAATTTATTGTGTTATTGTGTAGTCCAAATTTTGGGTTACAAATTTTAAAGTCAAATGAGTAATTATTAATAACTTACTAGTCAATATTAACTTAGACGTCAATAGAATAGTCAATTATTTATAGTTTAATAAATTACTCAAGTACTTATTTTTCTTATTTGGATAGATTATACAAAAATAAATTTATTTAATTAATGAAACAATATAAGTTTTATAATTATATTGATTATTCACATAGATTTTTAAATATATGATAAAATTTTACTAAAATTTCATGGAATCACGTTGTTGTCAAACTGAATTTTTGAATAAAATTTTTAAAATGACACTAGGGTTGTGTACAAATTTTAAATAGACATGTTTTAATATAATTTTGCACAATTTAAATTTTATATAATATTTTTAACAAATTAATATAGGTAAATTGTATCACATATTGATTCTATAGTTTCAATAAATTAATATAGGTAAATTGTATCATATATTGATTCTATATTTTTAATTTATAAATATTATTTAATGAATATTTTTAATTTATAAAAATTAATGAATATCTCTTATCCTTTGCACGTACTAGTTATAAAAAAAATGAAATGAGTTAAGAAGTAAAAATACAATTCACCATCAATAAATCATATATCGAATGATTAAACCCCCAAATTGGAAAAACCCTTCTTTCAGTCGCCGCCAATCTTTCTCGTACGTCATCCCCGGCAGGCAGATGGTCCTTTTTCCGGCGGATCGCCATAGTAGCACATCCTATGCCCTAACTTCCCGGTGGAGGATGAAGACTGCCCGAGGGTCGGGTGTCGCCAGTTCCAGGTTGCCGATCGAGGTAGCAGTTCGTCGTCCTTCCTGGTCGCGAGGTGGTGGTGTGGGTTGGGGCTTGGGTGTGGCCCTAGCTGCTCGCGATGTCCGTGGCGGGTCTGAAGGGGTTGAGGCGTGGCTTTCTCTTACCTCTGTTCCTATGCTCCCTGGTGTGGGGTGGACCGGTGGCCGGGTCCGGGGCGGTGGTGGTGCGAGGGGATGTGAGTGGCTAGTCTTCTGGCTGTGGGTCAGGTTTCATTTTTCAAGAGTGGGTCGGGGTCTACAGGTTCGGCTTCAGCTAGGCGTTAGGGCAGTGTTGGGAGACGGTTCTTGGATTTCGGGCTAGTATGTTGGATGGTCGACCTGGGTTCTGCTGGTGCTTTGTGTTGGGCTTGACTTGTCTCCTGGGAAACGATATTGGTGTAGAGTTTGTTTAGTTTAATTTATTTTGGTTTGTGCGTTTGATGTTGTTTTGTGTTTGTTGTTGTGTTTTGAGTTGTTTTTTTTTTCTCCCCTTTAAGAGTTGTGTGGTCGTTTAGTTGTGTTGTTTTTCTCCTGTTGAGAGCGTGTTACTCTTCTGTTGGGAGCTGCATAGTTTATTGTGCTATGTGTGAGTTAGTGTAGTTACTTCTAGGCTACTTTCGTGTAGGCCTTCTGGATTTAGCTGCTTGGCTATTCTAACTGTAATTACGTGGTTTTCATTTTTATAAAATTTATATCGGGAAAAGAAAATAATTAAATAAAAATAAACATTTCCACAAAATAATACAATCCGCTGCTCGACTTTAACTTCGTTGACTTGTTTGGCTGCAAAATTGTCAAATAACATTTCAATATTTATTAATTTATTTTCATCTCACATCATTAAACTAAAGCAGCTGGAATAACTACTTTTCCCGCTCAAATCTATATTACATACTTATCATAAATTAATCTAACATTGTTGTCTGAAATTGAGAACTCCAATATTAATCCATTAATAAAGTACAATTAAATCACATCAATAATTTGATTTATGTATATACATTAAAAGCAGTCAACATCAACATTCAAGTAGTAACTTTTTTTTACCGACACCACCCCAGTCGACATTTAACTAAAATTTAGGTTTTTGTAAAATGAAAAGTAACTTTTTTGGTTTTTGTACTCTCAACATTCAAGTAACTTCTTTGATTGTTGATACCTGCAAAGAAAAATGAAAAGGAAGTATATTAGATATCTACATTCGGAAATATATAATGAATTTTAGGTGTATATATATATACAATGCAATCAATCTTCAATAATTGGACTTTAGTTTTTCTAAGACACCAGGGAAAAATAGGCAATAACTATATTTATCATTCGTAAATATATAATGAAGTTTCTGTTTATAAATATTTCAATACAATCAGCCTTCATCCAACTAGATTATGAAGGGTTTAAAGCTAATTTTTGAATTATGAATGAGTTTCATTTGATTGATAATTGTGACTGAGAGCAAGATATTTATAAGTTATAACTCATAACTCACTCTAGAAACCAGTTTTGTACAGTCCCAATGCAACATAATGGAAATTCATATAGGAAAAAATAATTTTCATCTTACCCAAGATCTTGAAATTTACTATTCTAATTTATTGAGCTTACATTTTTTATAACTCATTCAAATATATCTAGGGCTCATTTACTTTGCATGACTAGGGAATTAAACAATCCCTTCATACGTCACAATTGACCATTAAAGAGACTCTTTCTAACTTATTAAGGTAACAGATTATATAAAGTCCTTATAAACCGATGAGAAACTTCTATATTTTCCCCTAAATCTTAATATATTCCAGACTCAATCATATTTTCATTTTACAGAAATGAACTCGAATCACTAAACCATAGTATATTCATCAGAAGATCAACAGCATGAAGATAACAAAATCTACAACCATACCACTAAGGAAAATGAAGCATAGTGATATTGCGACCCCAAGTACGGATATTTTTAGAACCCTAAATTTTAGGTAATGATATTTTTTTTTCAAAATATTCTTCCGAAAAAAGAAGTCTGTAAATTTGCTCATTAAGAAAAAATTTCTTTACATCTTCATAAATAGACACAAGCATGCACATATAACACTTAGATCCACATATATAGACAAATATATATACATCTAGGGCCAAGAGCTGGCCTTAATTTCACAGAGAATTCACAATTCACAAAGCAATTCTCAATTCTCACATTCACAAACCAGCTACACAGTATGGCCTGAATTTCAAAAATCAATTAGTAAAACAGAGAATTGATAATTGGCCCGAAATCTGTAACCTAGACACCAACTCACCTTAGACCATGGACAGCCTTGCAACCTGGGGACGCCGCCACTTCTCGCCGCCCTCCATTCATTTTGTCCCCATCGTTGAACCCACACTCGCAGATCTGGCGGTTGTTTATTGGATGGCTGTTGGAATGCCTCAATCGATTTTTAAAGAAAATTCATGGCTTTTCCAAAAATCACAATAAAATTTTCGAAATTCATTTTTCGATTCATAAACATTTCGGCGTTACTCATTTAATTCAAAACATAGTTCAAGTCGTGTTTGAACTAACGGGGATTCATTACCCGGTTTTGCAAAGGTTTTCATTAACCATAATCTCAACAACATAATCAATAAGCATTATAATATTCTTTCAACCACATACTCATGAATATTAAAGAAAGGTTTTCAACATAAGCCGATCCAACGTGTTTTCAAAGTCAAACAAACCAACATTTTCAAATAACCCAACATAAAGTTCATAAATACGGAAGCAAATAATAATAATGAAATAAAAGACCACCCACTCGCCTTGTCTTGTCACCCGCCAACTACTTAACCTGCATCCGTGAAGAGCATGTGGGAGTGAG